TCTTTCTTTGCTTTCTCAGATATGACAAGAGCTGCTGCAGAGCTCAATTGTTGTATAATCCCCAGGTGTGCCTCCTTTTCATCTACCTCATTACTTGTATGTTGAGGTATCAGTGTGTTTGTCTCTAAGGAAAGGTGTATGTATACATAGCTCACTTTTTACAAATAACAGACACATTAGTTTTATAGATCTCAAGTTATATATAAGCCAAAAATGCAACTGAAATAATTTAGCTGAGTACAAAGAAAATATTGTTATGAGTATTATAAAAATGGGAATGGCTATTGGGATAAAGACAAATTATGCACAGGACCTGTCATCCCTAGTTTTGGTGCTTAAAACCTTCGGTGAAAACAAAACAAAACAAAACAAAAAACCTTGGATTAAAGTTAAACAGGAACCATTTCATATGTTTCAAATATATAAAGACTTTCCAACACGGCTCCTATCTGGGTCAAACTGCTAACTAAAGTCTATAGTGAGAAGAGAAAAGATTTCTAGGACACACCAGAACAACTTGTTCTGAAAAGCCTGGTATCCCAAATTTGCCATCACCAAACTCAAAAATTTAATTTTCTATTGACGTCTAACACTTTCTTCTTTGTATCTCTGCCGTATTTCTTAGGAACTATCACTAATTCCTACCGTAATGTCTCCAGTTGTGTAAAAAAGATAAAAGAATAGCCATTATGTAAACGTTAGGTTAAAAGAATAGCCATCAAGTAGACTTTAGGCCATTCATAACATTCTCATTGGAAAGTTTCAGCAGAAAGTTTTATATTTTCATTGGGGTTTTAATATTAAAATCACATGACAGTTCTATTGTTTAAGCAAAAATAACAGATTGGAGAGAGAAGTTAAATACTTCAATTTAGGCTTAAAATGTCATCTGCACACTAATGTAAATGATGCACCTTTTGCATTTAATAATTAATTCCTTATATTTTTTTTCATTCTCACATATTTGAGGAGATACAAATCTAAAAGAGCGTTTGTGGATTGAGTATCTCTCCCTAAAGATATGTTGAAGTTTTAATGCCAGTGCTCATGAATGTGACCCTATTTAAAAATAGGATCATTTTGAAGATGTAATCAAGATCAAATGCCAGATTAGGGTGGTCCTAAGTTCAATCACTGTCTTCATAAGAGGGGACACAAGATAATGGCTGTTGAATGAATGCTTTAACTCTTTTAAAGATTAAATTCTCTCTTAACTTCCATAGAATGCAAAATTGGAGTCAGCACAGAATATGATCCATGTACCTCATATAAACAATGTTAGGTATCTGCATCAAATCACTGGCTATCTCTTATCCCCCACCTTTTGACCTAAAACATATCTAGTCTGGATAACTTTTAAATTATCATGGGCTACAAGAGTATTCCCTCCATTGTCAGGGAACCAATACAAGGATTCTGCCACTAAGTCTGTGGCATTCTGGGACTAAAACTATAGGATTGGTGTGTGTTTCCACTGGCAGAAGCAAACCCTCTGGGAGTTGGATTCAGGCCCAGACTCATCTATCTCCCGACCTTCATAAGTCTCCACTCTGTTTATGGGCCACTGTAGTGTTTGGGAATGGCAAGAATTCATATAATCAAGGCCAATATCCAAATCCCCATAGAAGTCTGGGTATGTCCTCCCTCATGCATGGCCATGGTGGTAAGTGACCACAGATACCCCTGGGAAGGCCTGGAGGAAGAGCTGCACAATGCTTCTATGGCTACACTGCAGGAACCTTCTTAAAAGGTCTTCCTGTAGCCACTTTGGGTCTAGGAATTGGCTTAAGTCTCAAAGTTGAGTAAGGTGCTATGAATTCCCCATATAATCCCTTAAGTCATATTTCTGCCCAGGAGACTCAAATTGTTCACCTATATGTCAAGCTGCTCCTTCAAAGGAGGCCCATGTGATTTCATTATAGGGTCTCCATGATGCACTAGCTGTACTGCCAGGCCAAAACCTGATTACCACTCTTTCCTAAGGCATGTTACAACAGTGTCTGCTTTGTCTCCAAAGGTGAGGTGCTGCTGCATGGCCTCTTCCACTCCCCAGAATCTCATCTTCATTTTGAGGATCTCTTTCCTGGGGCCATTTCTGGTACCAGTTACAGAATCAGTCCCATTAAGAAATAGCTCACTTGAAAGGAGTGAAAGAAAATTGAAGAGACTCTCTACAAAAGTGTGGGAAGAGTTGCGGGAAACCAACAAGGGATTTACCATCCCTAGCCCTGAAGGGAAAGCAGGAGTGTGGTGCCTTTGAAATGTGTCACTTTTGGCTTAGCTGATTCTATGTTCCCTAGAACTCCCTTCCCTGTATGTTTCCAGTGAGGGTCACAGAGGACATTTTGGTGTGAGATCTGGAGGGTGGTGGCAGAGGAGAAATCATTTTGTTTTTAGGCTTAGAAAGGCTTCTGCCCCCAACACGTTTCTTACCTGCTGGTTCTTGGTGGCGTGGCTCAGTAGACAAGCCTGTGGCTGCTCTCTTTTCCCCAAGGCTCTCCTCCAGGTCTTCCAGCTCCTGGGCTACGTGTGTGCTTAGCAACACCACAAATGGCACCAACCTCTGTAGGACACCCACATCGTTTAGGTAGAAGACAGTAAAAACTGCCACAGCTTTGTCTGGGGCTTCCAGCTTGTCTTTGTTCTCTCTCTTAGTGTTCACTTTCCCTACTTGCTTGGCCTGCAGAATTAAAGTGCCAGCATCAGCCATGAAGACAGTCACATAACAGGCTTCCCATAATAGCCTGGAGTCAAATCTTGATAACAATTTTGTCATCTATAGAACATACATATGGCTCTGCTGCTCTGATTGAACTCTAAGTGATGCAGGAAGGAAATGACTTTTGGGATCTGGGAATAGCTCTAGCTGCAGAAGAAGAGAGCCACAAATAAGGTCTCAATCAGACACTTGATGGTAAGAGACCTCAGTTGATGCAGTTCATAGAGGTCTGCCCCAAGCATGAGGAGTGGTTCTGGAGGGACAGAGTATCCAGAAGCATCAGGTTTTTGAAGAATAACACTTGGTCTAGACATGATGGAACAATGTGTTTCAGGATATGCAAATAAAGTTAGCTGGGGATTTCTAACCAGTCATACTGATCTTCAAATATACAAAAAGTCCATAGGCAAACTGTGAACATATAATTCAGAGACTGATATGTCTATATTAAAGAATAAGTTCTCATTTTAAATTAGATTCCAGGTGAACAAGGAGAGAAGACGGAAGAAGAGATTACCAACTAATTTCATTATTGACTGACAGTAAGAAACTAATATACTATCTTCCCCTTATTCCCTGCAAATAACAGGGATATTAAGGCACTATATAAAGATATCAGTATATTAGTAACTGACAGAACAAAAATACAAATGCTCCGCAACACTGTAGTGAAAGACAAATGGGAAGATAAAATAATCTGGCAAAACAAACTAAATGTGTCATAATCAGTGATACCGATTTATAACTCTCCCATTCTCTCATATAATCTTATCCCCCATTTCATTGAAAAATAGAAACAATTCTAAAATAAATTCACAACTTTTACCACATCAACCCATATGTGTGAGCCGGCATGGCATGACCATTGCCTATTCTCTTAAAAAGGCTACTCTTTCCCCTTACAAACAGATTCCAACCTATCTCACCTATGCAGAACATTACTCCAACATCTCCCCCTCTCTATGGAAGATTTCCCATAAGTGTATAAACATGCATTTATCTCTAGCTATAGAAAGAAGCCTCCTTTGACTATACTTTACTCTCGAGCTACAATGCTATTTCTCTTGCCTTTAGTATGACTCCTTGAAAAGGCTGTTTGTACTAACTCTTTTCAGTGCATCTCCTCTCACCTTTCTTGAAACCACTCCCTGCTTAGTGGTGGTTGCCTGTGGTAGCTAGCCTATGACATGGCTCCAGAGGTCTCTACCTCCTGGCACTCATGCTCCCGTGTGATCCCCTTCGGCACTGTATCAAGGTTGGTCTGTGTGACTAATTAAATACAGTGAAAGTGATAGTTTTCCAAAGCTAGGTTATAAGGGAAACTGGCTTTGGATCACTCACTCTGAGGAATGAATGCCGGCTGCCACGTTGTGAGAAACTCAAGAAACCCTACGGAGAGGTCGATGTGATGAAGAACTGAGGTCTCCTGCTAACAACTGTGGGAGACAGCCATGGTGGAAGTGGATCCTTCAGCCCCGTCAAGTCTTTACACAACTGCATCCCTGGTCAACTTCTTGACAGCAACCTCAAAGGCCTTGAGCCTCAACCACCTAGCCAAGTTACTCTACAATTCCTAAACCACAAAAACAATGAGATAGTAAATGTTTATTGTTTTAAGTTGCTAATTTTGCGGATAATTTGTTACACAACAATAAATAATACATTAACCTGTTACGGGTTGAATTGTCTTCCCAAAATGTGTGTTGAAGTCCTACCCCTGAGTACCTTATTTGGAAATAGGATTGTTGCAGATGTAATTATTGAAGATGCAGTCATACTGGAGTAGGACAGGCTCTTAATCCCATGACTAGTATCCTTATAAAAAGGGGAAATTTGGACACAAATAGGCACACTTAGAACACCATGTGAAGTTATGCTGCCACAAGCTACAGAATTATCAGAAGCCAGGGGAGAGGCCTGGAACAGATCCTTCAGAAGAGAGTATAGCCCTGCCAACACCACCCCAACCTGACTTCTGGCCTCCAGAACTATGAGATAGATCTGTTGTTCTAGAACATCCAGTCTGAGGTACTGTGTTAGGGCAGCCCTAGGAGATGAATACACTCTGTATCATGTCTTTGTTCTTTGGCTACTTTTAAGATATTCTTTATTAAACTAGTTTTGATTTATGTCTTGAAATTTGGTGTCTGGTTGTGCTCTTCATTTTTATCCTGCTTGGGGTTCATTAAACTTCTTGGACTTCTGAATTTACATTTTTCATAAGATTTGAAAAGATTGTTCCAACATTAAGGGATAAATTTAGATAAATTTGGCACAAAAATTAGGTATTTTTGTTTTTCTTTACTCCATTAGTGTCAAAGTGAAAGGTAACATAATTCCTTTCACAATAGCAACCAAATCTTTGAAGTGACTATGAATACATTTTACAAGAGCAAGATCAGTATATGCACACACATACATTTAAACATATGTATGTACTTATATAAACATATGTATATGTGTGTACACATACATTTATCTGTACTGAAGGACATAAAAACTGAATAAACTGATAAGTCATGTTCATATTGGGTTCTCTGAAGGGCCCCAAATAAATAGCACAATTTCCACCCCCATCTAAACAATAAAAAATTAAGTAGTAGACAGGGGACAGGATGAAACTTTTATTACTGAACAAATTGAGTTGGAGGATGCAACTTATTGTGACCATTCAGCTAATGGGCCAATTAGCTGAATGACAGAATTAGACCAATTTACCAATCACAGGCAATACCTGTGACAAGAAATTGTGCTTGCAGAACAGCCCACAATGAACAGTGAGTTCAGCTGAGCAAACCCAGTTACCCATCACTGTCTTACCAATTAGATAAGCCCACTTCATCTTCCCTGGGGCAGAATGCATAATGTGGCAGAGAGGCTAGGAATGGGTATAGGGAAAACCCCACTCATGGAAATCAGGACTTAAAAGGTAAACATTTTCCAATAACCCCATAAAAGTGGCAATCCTACCTCATCACATATATCCATACAATGTAATCCTAATCAGCATCCCAGAGGCCTTTTGTTCTCAGAATTTGATCAGTGACTTCTAAAGAATACCTCTAATGAACATGTTGATTAGGAAATCCAAGAGATTTTTGAAAACATACTAATTGACATAATCAAACCACTGGTAGATGGGGTTGAGTGGATATCAGAGAATACTAAAACCAGAGAAACAAACACTTTTTGGATTCAACCATCACCCAAATTCTCTTTGTTGTTCAAGAATACTTATTTTTCCATGTTTTTCCTACTGCAATTGCTGTTTTCTTGACTTGGCTGAAAGCTTCAGGATAACGAACTAGTTATCCTGTGCCTATATTCCATTAGAAAGGTCTTAGGAAGGGCTTTCATTGGCTCAGCTTTACCAAAGGCTCACCTGGGGTATAATTACCATGGGTGCATAGAGTACCATGGTTAGTGCTCCTGAGTTGTCACCTTTGCAGATAAAGGTATATAGTCTGCTACTAGAAGACTATGGAGTTAGCAGACAACAAAAAGTCTGCCAAATCTGAAAATACACCATAAATTGAGAAACTGCAAGTTACTCAACTATCAAAAAATGGTATTGATTTGAAATGAAGGTCAGATCCTCACACCTCATAACATACACTAACAAGTAACACTGTGGGGAGGAACCAAGTAATAATTTAACTTAAATAATGTTTGTTTCATTATTTTAAAAGGGAGGCACATTTGGCATAACCTTTGAATTGCTGTTGAATATTTTCATAGTTCACAATGAATAATACATTTATTAAACAAAGTATTTCTTTCCTACATGATTTCTCTGATGTTATGGTGAGGATGGACTTATGGCAGAAAATTTTTCCATACTAAGATTTTACTCCTCTATACATACTCACAGTTTCGCATTGTGTAAGTTATTTGATTTGTTGCTTTGTTGGAATTTATTACTTTGCTGGAACTTATTCCTTGTGGGATTTCTGATGTAAAAGGAAGTTTGATTTGTGGCGAAATGTTTTCTCACATTTGTTACATTCATAAGGTTTCTCTCCTGTGTGTATTTTCTGATGTTCAGTGAGAGTCCACAGGCGGCGGTAGGTTTTCCCACATTGATTACATTCATATGGTTTCTCTCCTGTGTGAATTCTTCTATGGACTCTGAAGGCTGACTTATGGCAGAAGGATTTCCCACATTCATTACATTCATATGGTTTCTCCCCAGTGTGAGTTCGCTGATGTTCAACAAAGGAGAACTTCTGACAGAAGGTTTTCCCACATTCATTACACTCATAGGGTCTCTCTCCTGTGTGTGTTCTCTGATGGTGAGTGAGGGCTGACTTCCTGCAGTAGGTTCTCCCACATTCATTGCATTCATATGGTCTCTCCCATATAGTTCTCTGATGTACAATGAGGTGTGAGTTTTTGCTGATGGCATGCCCATGTTCACTACACTCATAAAGATTCTCCTTTGTGTTCATTCTCTTACACTGACTGCAGTTTGACTTCATGATGGATATTCTACCACATTTATTAAACACACCATGTTTGTCTCCTGTGTGTGTTCTCTGATGTATAGTGAGTGTTGACTTATGGCAGAAAAATTTCCCACATTCATTACATTCATAAGACTTCTTTCCCCTATGAGTTATCTGATGTGCAATGAGGGCTGATTTTGTACATAAAAATTTTCCACATTGACTGCATTCATAGGGCTTCTCTCCTGTATGACTTCTTCGATGCACATTGAGGGCTGATTGACAAAAAAAGGTTTTCTCACATTCACTACATTCATAGGGTTTTTCCCCTGTGTGAATTCTCTGATGTGCAGTAAGGGCCGACTGACAGAAGAAGGTTTTCCCACATTCCTTACATTCATTTGGCTTCTCTCCTCTGTGAGTTCTTTGATGTACAACAAGATACGATTTCTTACTGAAGGCGTTTCCACATTCCTTGCATTCATAAGGCTTCTCCCCTGTGTGTGACCTGAAATGTTCAGCCAGGGCTGACTTCCGAAAAAAGGTCTTTCCACATTCATTACACTCATAGGATTTCTCCCCTCCATGAATTTTCTGGTGTACAATGAGGGCAGATTTGTCAATGAAGGTTTTCCCGCATTCACTGCATTCATAGGGTCTCTCTCCAGTATGAATTCTTTGGTGTCGAGTGAGGCTTGTCTTCACACGAAAAGTCTTCCTACAATCATTACAAACATACGGTTTCTCCCCTGTATGAATTCTCTGATGTACAATGAGGGTAGATCTCTTAGAAAAGGTTTTCCTACATTCACTACATTCATTTGGTTTCCTTTCAGTCTGTCTCCCTTTCTGTGTAACGAGAATTGCCCTCTTGAAGAAGGTTTTCCCACATTTATTATAGTCAAAAGGTTGTTTCAAAATCTGTATGTTCTGGTGAAGAATAAGACTTTCATTTTGATTGCTGGCTTTCCTCATTGGATTGTATCTGTAACTTTTCATTCCCGAATGACTTTTTTCATGCTTAGTATGAAGCAGTGGCTTCCCAAATCCACTGTATTCATCAGGAATCTTTCTGTTTTCTTTGCTTTTCTTTGCAACAATTACTTCTGAATTAGTTTTCAAACTGTTTCCTCCTGGATTACATTTATAGGGTATTTTTCTTGAGGGAACACTATTCATGCCCAGATTAAGTGTTTTCCCAAATACATTCTCTCTTTCTGTAATCAGTGTTTTGTTGCCGAAGAATACAGTTTGTGTCAAATGTTTATCCTGGATTTCCTTGTTCTTCTCTAAGGCATCATTAACTTCTAGAAAAAGGAACACAATTAACAGTAATTGGTGAGTCTTTATATATTTGCTATGAAATGAGAATTCCTTAGAAATGCACTGTTTTGGGGGTTAGACTTCAGGCCCAGCCTTCCAAGATTAAACAAATTTCAAGTGCAAATATCTCTTACTTGGTTGATTTGAAGAAAAACAAAAACAAAAACTACTAAATACTAAAAAGCAAATCCATCCGTACCAGCCACTATTTAACAGGGGAAAAGGAAGAGGAAACTAGCAAAGAATATAAGTACCTTTGACACTTTACAAATACCACTAAACATTGAGTGGAAAAAGTAAGCAGTCACAAGGAATAGTACACAAAGTATGCTGGAAGTGTGGCTGATGGAGTGTTGAATAAAACAGACAAGAGTCAAGTAACCACTTACAGAAAGAGAGTCATACAGTGAGACCAGGTAAAACAGATGTCAGAAAGATGGGTCAGTTATTATCAAAACACACAAGAAGGAAGGGGTGAATGTGAAATTTTTGCAGTGACATGGAACTCTTGAATTTGTACAATGCAAAGGGAAGTAAGATTGCAGGCTGAGCAGAGCTGGGACTAGAGGAAGGCAAGCAGGATACCCAGGGCACCTGCACAATCCTGAGAGTTGAGTGTCTTCCTAAATTTTGCATGCCAGGCACCTTGTTTGCCTCACCCTACTCTGGATCCTGGTGAAGCTTAGAATGGAAAGGGAAACCGTGTTACTTCTGTTAAGTGATGTAGAGAAAAATGGAAGACAATTAAAAAGATTATGACAGATCTCTGAATGTCTGAAATATAAACCATGCCTATGACAATGGTGGGTGGGGCAAGGGAGGCAACAGAGAATGCTACAGAAATAAAGTTTAAGGTGTGATAAAAGAGGAACTTGAATTCTGGGGATAGGTAACTTAGTGGCAAAAATCTTTATAAATTTCAGTTATTTATTTGGGGAGAATGTTTCAGATGTCCATAGCATGACAGTTAATAACCTCAATCACTTCTAAAGGTCTGGGGCCAACAAAAAGAAATTCATGAAAAACATTACCATGCCAACTATTACCACTGACCAACACGGAACTCATTTCCATTGGTTCCACCTGCTCAGTTATCATTTACTTACCTGGGTAGTTCTGATTTGAGAATTCCTCCACTATCCATGGTTCTTCTCCTTGTTCCAATTTGAAAATCACATCCGGTTTGCTAACATGATACCCTGTTAATGGGAAATTACAGAACTTGGACCAAGATCTTTGGACATCAGGGACTCTGAAGAATGCAGAAAGTACAGCTTCAGAAGCTGTGCAATGAAGATTCCCAACAATAGCTCAGTAAAGCTAGAACATTTTGGTGAAGGGTAAGGGAAGGGCAGTGAATACATACACAAACTTTACTGTCTAAAAGGGTTTAATCATCTTGCTCCCCTGATGCTCAAAGCTAAATAATTAAATTCTAGACATCAACATGTTTTTGTAACACAGAAAAAATGTATGCTCTTGGGAGTTGTACAAGGAAACCGTCCTTACCCACGGAGACCAAGTTGCTGTAGTTCTCCAGCATCACATCCCTGTACAGGAGCCTCTGAGCAGGGTCCAGTTGCTGCCATTCCTCCTGGGTGAAGTTCACAGTCAGGTCCTGGAATGAAACTGATCTCTGAAAGAAAATGTTTAATCTGGGGTGACCAAAACTGAGTGATATCAAATGTATGGTAACATAAACTATAAGCAGACAACTGCCATGGCTAATGGAAAACTATAAAGAGATACAATTGTGGGAGGGCAGAAAATTAAAAATATGTCACTGTGTTCATTTTTAAAATGAATTTTAAAAATGTACTGAGCTTATACCATGTCCTGGAGCTATTCCAATTGCTTGGATTACTAATCACATAAAATACTAATCTTGCTCTCAAGGAGCATACATTCTGACAGGGTGACAAAAATAGAAATGTACATCTTTAAAGAGCAATGCTGGACATACACACAAGATGAAGGGTGATCACAAAAGAAGAAAGTTTGCTCCATTTTTGTTACCCCTTCTTTGAGGGCATAATAATTTTAGTCCTGAAATATAAACAGTATGCTGTATTATAGGACTGTAGCCGTTAAGAAAATACACAGACACCAAACACACATGGGGAGTTCGAGAACTACAATCTCTCCACAGGAAAGGCTAGTGAGGAGTGGGACAGAGGCCAGAGAATAGAGGAACTCTTTTTTCTAATTAGTAGTCTTGAAATTCAGATAGTACAACACATCAGCAAAACATTCTTGCATATAAGCTAACGTACATTTACTTAGGAATTGTAGTATATTTCCAAGTTAGTTCCAGCTATACATTAATATCAATAAAGCTTCATTATTTTTTCATTCTTTTGGCTGAAATACTAACAAGAATAGAAGTACAGTGAATTGCTGGGGTGTTCCCTATCCTCCACTTTGGAGACCACTGTTGTAAATAATGGAAATCCATAAAGAGGTATTTGTAAGCAAGGACTGGAGATTTGTGACCAAATGTGTGTTTTGAAACAATGCTCTAGAGCACAGGGGTTGGCAAACTACAGTCCGTGGGCAAAATCTAGGCCACTGGAAGCCAAATGTGGTCATGCTCATTTGTTACACACAGTCTGTGATGGCTTTCATGTCACAACAGCTGTGCTGAGGAAATCTGACAGAGACCACAGGGCCAGCAAAGCCAAAAATTTTGACCTTGTACTCTAAAGAAAACATTTGCTGTCCCCTACTCTAGAAAAATGGAAACTGGCTTAAAGGTCAAATTAGAGGGGAAGAAAACTAAGACACCACTACAGGACATGAGCACAGATAGTTCCTGGGAAATGGGAAGGAGAAAATCAGTCCTACACAACGGGAGGCAAGGAGAGTTGACCACTACTTGATGTGCAGATGTAATGTGTAGATTATTTCACATGATCAGCTGGGCTGATGCTAGTAGTATATGTGGAGATTAGGAAAACAAAACAGAAAAGAGAATTGAGCACAGGAAACGAAGGCACTGATGTTCACCATGCTGTGCTTGAAGTATCTATTGAGTAAAGAAGTAGAGATGTCTAGCTGGTAGTTGGATACATCGTTCTGGAGCTCAAAGGAGAGATACCATAGTGATCAGAAGCAATATTTGAAAGCATAAATAATGAGGAAGGTCTCCACGAACTGATATGAAGTGAAAAAAGTAAAGTATTAAAGAATATCTATAATATTCTACCTTTTATGTAAGAAAGGAGATGTAAGAAAACACACATGGCCAGGTGTGGTGGCTCACACCTATAATCCCAGCACTCTTGAGAGGTTGAGGTAGGCAGATCACTGGAGCTCAGAAGTTCAAGATCAGTCTGGGCAACATGGCAAAACCCCATCTCTACAAAAAATAAAAAAAAAATTAGCCGGGCATGGTGGCATGTGCTACTCGGGTGGCTGAGGCAAGAGGATCACTTGAGTCTGGGAGGCAGAGGTTGCAGTGAGCTGAGATTGTGCCACTGCACTCCATCAACTTGGGTTGACAGTGCAAGACCTCATCTCAAAAAAACAAAAAAAACCCCACCACATATAACCACTACATGTGCAAAGAAAATTATGGAAAGGATACACCAGAAACTCATGAAACTGGTTACATTCAGGGGAGAGGTGGAGACAGATGGAAAGAATGGATGGATGGGAACAGAGTAGAAGAGATGAGAAGGAGTGACACTTCTCTAAAATATCTTTCTATATGGTTTTGATTCTTAGAAATATGGTAGGCCAGGTGTGGTGCCTTACGTCTGTAATCACAGCACTTTGGGAGGCTGAGGTGGGAGGATTGCTTGAACTCAGGAGTTCAAGACCAGCTCAGGCCACATAGTGAGACCTCATGTCTCAATTTTTTTTTTTTTTTTGCCAGGAGTGGTGGTGCATGCCTGTAGTCCCAGCTACTTGGGAGGCTAAGACAGGAGGATTGCTTGAGCTGAGGAGATCAAGGCTTTAGTGAGCTATGATTGCACTACTGCACTCCAGCTTGGGTGACAGAGCAAAACCTAGTTTCAAAAATTATGCAAGTTAAATAAGTTTAAGTACGTAAAAAGGAAAGAAAAAAAAGAAAGAGGAAAGGAAAAGAAAGGAGAAATTAAAGGAGGGAGGAAGGAAAAGGAAAAGAAAACAAAGGAAAAGGAAAACAAGGGAAAGGGAAGGGGAAGAAGAAAGGAAAGAAGGGCTAGGATGAACCCTGCAAAATAGCCAGCAAAGTGTCAAGGTTGTAAGTGACAAAGAAGGACCATTGTGGGTTGCAAGAGGCTAAGGAGACAGGACATTTAATGCAACTTGGGTTCCTAGGTTGGATCCTTGAACTGAAAAAGGATATTCATGGAAAATAATTAGCAGAATTTGAGTAAGATAGATAATAGTACTGTATTCATGTGAATTTCCCAGTTCTGATCACTATAATATAGTTTTGAAAGATCAGGGGAAGCTAGGTGAAGGAAACACAGGTATTTTGTGTATGATTTTTCTCATTCTTCATATTTAAAAATAAAGCAGTAAAAAATAGGCATGCTGCCTCCACCTTCACAGACACCTGGGCTTTGGCCTGCTGTATGTTTCACCTCACCTACATGACCATTCTAGCTCACCCCAGTCTTTCTTTTCTTTGATCTTTGATCTGCTATACATCTTTCTTTTTTTTTTTTTTTTTTTTGAGACGGAGTCTTGCTCTGTCACCCAGGCTGGAGTGCAGTGGCCGGATCTCAGCTCACTGCAAGCTCCGCCTCCCGGGTTTACGCCGTTCTCCTGCCTCAGCCTCCCGAGTAGCTGGGACTACAGGTGCCCGCCACCTCGCCCGGCTAGTTTTTTTGTATTTTTTAGTAGAGACGGGGTTTCACCGTGTTAGCCGGGATCGTCTCTCGATCTCCTGGCCTCGTGATCCGCCCGTCTCGGCCTCCCAAAGTGCTGGGATTACAGGCTTGAGCCACCGTGCCCGGCCTACATCTTTCTACTGACATACTTTATTAGGTAATTCAATGAGGCCTTTCCCGCTATCACCACTTAACTGTCTCTTACACATAAACTAGAAGTCGTTACATTATCCATTTTATTTCCTCCATGAATTACTTCCTCTAAAGGACCTATAAGCTTATTTTATTTTATTTTATTTTATTATTTTATTTTTTAGATGGAGTCTCGCTCTGTCTCCCAGGGCCTGGAGTGCAGTGGCGCAATCTCAGCTCACTGCAAGCTCCACCTCCCGGGTTCATGCCATTCTCCTGCCTCAGCCTCCCCAGCAGCTGGGACTATAGGTGCCCGCGACCACGCCCGGCTAATTTTTTTGTATTTTTAGTAGAGATGGGGTTTCACCGTGTTAGCCAGGATGGTCTCGATCTCCTGACCTCGTGATCCACCCGCCTTGGCCTCCCAAAGTGCTGGGGTTACAGGCGTGAGCCACCACACCCGGCCTAAAGGACCTATAAGCTTCTTGAAGATAAAGAGTATGTTATAATTATAGGCACAACAATAGACATATAAGGTCTTAATGACTAGAAAGAATGGCAAAAATACTACAAACAAAACGCCAGGGGAAAGAGTGCCAGGGAAGAGCCTTCACTAAAAAGTTCTGTACTCGCTAAGGCAGACCCAGTGCACTTCACAGCAGAAAGTCCAAAGTAAGAACAGTGAATGTGTTCACTTTGTGAGAAACTGAAAGGTGCTTATGACAAAGAAAAAGAAACTCGATTCTCCCGGTGACTCAGGTCCACTCTGTAAGCAACACTGTAAGTAGAACGATGATCCATTCAGAGCAGAGGAGAGTTTACTGTATCACACAAAACAAGATTACCCACAAAAAAGAAATGATGAGCACTACTATGAGTAGGCATACGGCAACTGAGGAGATATGCCTACACCTTTAAAGGCCAATAGTCTTACTTGTGAGGTAGACAGATAATGACCAGACCCTATATGTAATGCAGAGATGAAGAGGGCCAGCATTGCTCTGTAAACACACAGTCTGTGGACACAGAATATGGGGACAGGAATGGGTCCTATGATGAGATGGCTCCTGGCTATGGTCCCAATGTAGACAGAAAAGGGGTAGAAAGTCAAGGAGCAAACAGTGGAAACACGATTAAAAGCAAGAAGTGTAAAATTTGGGGCATGTTCAGGAGACTAAATGCAGACCACCATCATTCTTCAGAGGGGCTCAGTGTGGGTGGTCCCTCCCACTGGGGGCATGAAGCACATCTGTGGAGACATTTTTGGCCATCAGGGTTCTGTGGGATGCTGCTGGCATTTGGTGGAGGGAGAGGGAAGGAGGGATGGTAGAGACACTGCAACATGCAATACCTTCTCCTACAGTAGAGAAATGCCCCAAGTCCTGTGTAACTTTCTAATCTTAAATATTCATATAAGTGAAAAATCTGTTTATAATGATCTGAGCCTAGAACCTTATTCCATTTGGCACTTGAACACATAATATTTATATATATATATATTTTTTTATGTATATTAAATTTTCTTCAATGTAATAGTGGGTATATCAAGGACAATTTGTATTTGATTTGAACTGGAACTTTAGGGATTTTCACTCTTGAAAAATATCACAAATGTCAATGTTATGTACAGTATTCAAATCACAACACATCGCTCCTGTATCAGTGAGAACCTGTAACTACATTCATAGAGATTTAACCTAAAAGTAGTCTGTATAAACATCAGACTCCTCTTTTGACTTTTACTATAGTTATATCTGGGCAAGTCTGTATTAAGATACATATCATTTTTAATTACTTTATGTTTTTACTTTTCCTCTATATTCGAGTTCTATCGATTTTTTAAAAATTACACAAGTAGGTTAAATTATCTATAATCTTCAAAACAGGATAAAGGGAGGATGGCGTTTAGTTCGGATTTCTAGAAAACAGAGCCTAAGGCAAGGACTCAGTCTGTATCATTTTATCTGGGAACTCCAAGCCAGGGTAGTGAGGGTGAGGGAAGTAAGGAAGGGAGGAAAGAAAGGATGTAAACAATGAGATATGAGAGACATTAGCATGCTGCCCACCACCTCACTACAAGCCCCAAAGAGGGGCAAGTTTCCTCAGCAGGAGCATGGGGTCAGCACATGGGACACCTCTGGGAGAACCACCAGGAGAAACTAATCTTGAAATAGTGCACAGAAGAGAGAAAGGATGGTGAATTCATCTGCCCACCTCCTTCTCATTTTCCATTTCCCTTCATTCAAGGTTCACCCAGTGAGTTAACCTGCCCACACTTCCAGGTTGCATCATCTGGCTCCACCATCTGGCCCCTCAGGAAGCTGGTACCACACCTTATGGTGTGTGGTTTCATCCAAGTCTAAAAGAGGAGGCAGCCTGGTGTGGGTGGGTGGCATTAACTAAGAGAGATAAAGGAGATGGCTGAATATGGAAGGTTTGCATCCCAATATAGCTCATAAGAAAGTATGTTCTGTAAATAGATATGGGTCTGGCAGAGTTGAGAACCACCTCAGCACAGTTTGAACTGTTGGTGTAATATCTTTCTCTTTCACTTGCATGTGAGCTCCATGAGGACAGAGACAGTATCTCCTTCATTCAAGTTGAATGTAGACCATCTAGCATAGCGTATGACACACAATTGTTGGATCAATATACAGTTGTTGAGTGAAAGGTCCAGAGTGGTAGGAATTAAGAAGAGGCAGGAAACGGTCATGACATAAATAGCCTTACACGTCATACCAAGGATGCTGAACTTGTATTATGTAAGTGGTGTGGAACCTCTTAAGTCATTTCTGTATTAAGACATGATCACGTTGGCATTTTGGAGGAACTGGTCAGTGTGAACAACAGCCTTGAGGTGGGAAGAGGAAGGGGCCAGGCAGACTGCTGAGAAAGCTACTAATATTATGACAACCCACGAGAAACTGAGGCAGGAGAAGGAAGTGAAAGGACAAATTCAAGAAATGTTATTAGCAAGCTCGACAAACAGGTATGGTAGGAGGTGAGGAAAAGGAGAATTAAGATGGACTTCAGGCTGGGCGCAATGGCTCACGCCTGTAATCCCAGCACTTTGGGAGGCTGAGGCGGGCAGATCACAAGGTCAGGAGATCAAGACCATCCTGGCTAACACGGTGAAACCCCGTCTCTACTAAAAATACAAAAAAATTAGCCGGGTGTTGTGGTGGGCGCCTATAGTCCCAGCAACTCAGGAGGCTGAAGCAGGAGAATGGTGTGAACCCAGGAGGCAGAGTTTGCAGTGAGCCGAGATTGCACCACTGCACTCCAGCCTGGGCAATAGAGCGAGACCCCCATCTCAAAAAAAAAAAAATAGACTTCATTTTCTGGCTTGATGGAAGCAGCACTGATAGGGAATCAAGAAGCAGCAGTACATTGAGCAAGTTGTAAATATTATTTCCATGTTGGATACGAGGACTCCATGTGCCTTCTGGACATCCTTGTAGAGATGTTCAGCAAGAATCTCAAGCTGAGGTTCTCAGAGGCAGAAATATTTCAGAGCATAAAGACTCACAAGTTAAAAACCACAAAGGGCAAGAAAAAAAAATCAGAAAGAATAATGGGCTAACAATGGAATAGCAATGTTCATGAAACAAAAGAGAAGATTGTATAAAAGATATAAAAAAGACATGATTACAGGCTGGGCATGGCAGCTCACACCTATAATCACAGCACTTTGGGAGGCCAAGGTGGGAGGATCACTCGAACCCAGGAGTTCGAGACCAGCCCAGGCAACATAGTGAGACCTCATCTCAATTAAAAAAAAAAAAAAAAAAAGACATGATTGTAGAGCTACAAAGAGAATCAAGTGAGGGATACCACAGACATTATCAGAGGTGCATATTAGGGAGGGGGCAGTCATACTGTCAAATGCAACAAAGAGTTTGGTAAAGTATGAACTGAAAAATACTCATTGGGTTTGAAAACATTTAGGTTACTGGTAACTTTTTCCAGAACAGATCCATCAGAGTGGTGGGGGCAGACATAAGACTGTATCAAGTGGGTTGAAATGAGACAGGCAAGTGAAGTTTTACCTACAGAATGTTGAATTGTCCCCTCTAGAACTTGTTTTATAAGTACAGCTGCAATAAAGTTATAGGGCATTATTTGAAGAATATTATTCTATTTGTTACAGGTTTTATCCATTTATTCTAGGTCTTATCACTGGATCATAGACATCACAGAGAACCACCTGAATGCTGCCTGTTCGGATGACACTGGATTGGTTCCCTGTAATTACTGTGCTCTGCCTGGGTATAGAAGTCACAGGAAACCCATAGCATTTCTTTCCCAGCTGTTTTTGGCAGAGCTGCCTCTACTTCACTTACTCAAAGATCATCCAAGAAAATTTTTAGATAATTGATGGGAAAACCACACAAAATCCAGTGTAAGGGCTATCTCATATGGTCTGGGCCTTTCTGGAACCATTTGAGTAAGTCTATAGGAATATATGATTTCTGTATATCTATGTCCACTTTTCTAGTACCGATCGAATACTCTGATGCTGAATTTTATACATTTCAGTTTCATCTGCAAACTACTCTAAACCTCTTGAAGTTCACTGTATAATGTGAGAAGTAAATCCCTGAGCAACTTACCTGAAATTTGTTCATTTTCAGGTTCTCTTGAGAAAGGGCCAAGAGTGTTGAAAGCAGAGCTGGGTAAGGAAGAATGGGGAATGGAATGAGCAATCTGGCTCACACAGCAGCTCTACAGTTACCTACAAAGACAGCCACACACCCATTTAAAAACACGGTCCTTTGACCAGTCTGATTCAGGAAGCAACAGCTTGAGGAAACGTTCACTTGTCCATTTATAGTTCTAGAATAGTCACATAGAGCTTTTCTTACTGTCAACAAATGTTTTCTACTGAATTACTGAGAATTTATGCCTCCTTTGAAAAAAACTGAAAACCTCTGAGTCCAATTAATAGAAGACTAGGTCAACCAAAGTTAGTATACACAAAGCCTGGAACACTATTTTGGTATTAAAGTGGATTCTAGGATTAAAAGATTTCTTGGAATAGGAAAATGATATTTTGTCACCTACCTACTTTCCTACTAATGTGTTTAGCCACTTGAGATGAGAGAATCCAGAGAGAATGAATGAAAGTGTTTAAGGTGTTTGTCTTTTTGACAGTTTGGTCTTCCTTAGCTGCAGTTTCACAAGAGGACCTTTTACTAAGAAACTTCTTGTGGTAGGTAACTTAAATGTGGTAGATGACAAAGCCCTGACGGTTACTCAAAGGACCAGAATTCAGTTATTGGCTCTGTCGCTAGCAAACTGCATTACTGAATAAAATCTTTACGAAGTCGTAATTTTAAAATAAGATAAATTGGTTTTTAGTCTTTCCTTTACCCCATTGTGTAGCTCTGTAAGGGGTAAACTCAGTAAATCCCACGTGAGGTGATGAACATGGTTGGTGCAGCTCAGAATAAACAGAGGATGGAGATGGTAGGGAATGACATGTATGTGTTTAGGAAGTGATGAAGAGATCATTTCCTTATTTATAACTAGTACGCCTTCCTTCCAACCCAGGACTCTCGCAGATACCTCCAGTGAAGTGTCTTTTCCTGTCAAATCTGGACCCTGCCCATTCCAGCTCACATCCTTCTTCCGAAACGTGATATGAACTTTGCTGAGCTATAGTAATCAATGGTTGCAGGACTAAGTGCATCAGCAGAAGTTCTGGAAAGAGGATCTGGCTACTTGGACGCGCAAACCTTTCACTTTCACTCTGGCTACTTGGATGCGCAAACCTTTCACTTCTTCAGGCAAATCAGGGCCCTAGAGAGAGCCCGCCCCGTGGCCTGCAGGTCAGGAGCCCAATCCTGTCCTAGCTGCCTCGCCTCGCCTCCCGACAACAGGAAACCCTCCCTCCAAAGACAGGGAGAGCGCGCGTCCACCCTCCGCTGACCCGAGGACAGCTCCGCCCGGCCCCACCGTTCCCTCCGACGCCCGAGTGCTCGGAGCTCGCCGCCAGCCCTTCCTGTAGCTTGTGGGTGCACCCGCTTCGCCTGCAGTTCGCACCAGGTCCAAGTCACGGCGGGACCAGGTATTCACGGGCTGAAAGACCCTCACCCGGAAGAGTCTGTCGAACCGGAAGCGCGTCCGGGTGAAAAACAGGAACGGCACATGCGCAGAAAGGCCCCCGGGCCGCCTTTCCCGGGGCTCTCCCGAGGCCCGCGCCGGCTTTCCGGACCACAGTCCCCAGAAGGCGTCGCGGCCGCCGCCCTACCCTGAAGGATCTTTGAAGAGCTTATGCTTTAACTACAGAACTTGGGTGACTGCTGTGAATCACCAATACGAAAAGTAAAGTTTCATATCCGTTTCACCGAAGGCTGTAGATGAGAAAGGAAAATTATGCGAAATGAAAATGACTGCGAAAGATACTCCAGCGGAATGTTAAGGGAATAATACTAACGACCTGCAGAAAATTTCTCGCCAACAGTATACAAAATCGTTGCTGGCTTTCAATACGTGAAAGTTGAAGATAAATCAGAATATCTCTGAAGAAAACGATCTATTAGCTGTAACCCCAATTCCCAGAGATACCTGAGTTTAACATTAGGTGCACATTCTTCTGACAGTTTTACAAAGAGGAACTCATATGGGTCTAATAATAATATTATATGGGTCTAATATTTTTAAAATTAGCAATATAGTTAATATACTTTAATATCACGAATCATCTCATATTCATTGTAATATAGAAAATAGTTTTACATCCACAAGGAAAATACATACAATCATGCATGGTTTAACGATGGGGATACGCTCTGAGCAATGTGTCTTTAGGCAATCTCATCTTTGTGTGAACATCATGGAGGGTTCTTACACAAATCTAGACGATATAGTCTACTACACACCTAGGCTGTATGGTATAGCCTTTTTCTCCTAGGCTGCAGACCTGTGTGGCATGTTACTGTCCTGAATACCGTATGCAATGGTAACACAATGGTATTTGTGTGTGTAAACATACCTAAACATAGGAAAGGTACAGTAAACGTACAGTATTATAAACTTGTGAGACCACAGTTGTATATGCAGTACATCATTGACTGGAACATTCTTATGTTATGCATGACTGTATATGAATTGTATACACATTGAATAAATAGAATTTTATAAAACTTTACTCATTGGAAGGCATGAAAATTTCTGACAAAGTTATGATGTATTCAATTTCAGAAAAGAACAGTTAGCGACTGGTGGTAGCTAGTCTTCAAAGATGGCCCCCCAATGAACTAAACTTCCCAGTATTCCAGGCTTGTATATTTCCCTCCCACACTGATTTTGGCTGACTCTGTGATTCTCTTTAACCAAAAGAATGCGTCAGAAGTGACACTGTGCCACTTCCAGAAAATAAGCCATACATAGTCCTGGAAGCTTCAGCTTTGCTCTTTGAAGAGTCCTTAGACACTAAGACATGCAGCTAACCTGTTAGACCAAATGGAGAAACCAAGAAAAGTAGGAAGTGAGAGGCCCTGAGACCACATGGAAAAGGAGACGCCCATCTTTCCTAACAATGCAGCTATCCCGGCCTTCCAGTCATCCTTGCCTAGAGACATAAGACATATGAGTGAACATTCCAGGCCAGTGAAGTTCCTAGATGACTTCAGCTCCAGATGAAATCATGTAGCTGATCCCAGTAAACATACAGACTACAAGAAATAATAAATTTTGTTGTTTTAAGCTTCGAAATTTTGGGTGGTTAGTTATGCAGCAATAGCTAGCTAAACATCAACAAAAGATGATTTCGAAGAATATGATATGAAAAACTGCCATTTCAAATCAGTGAGAAAGGCTTATTGTTAAATAGATTATTGAAAAAGTGATGTGGGACAACTCACTAACCATTTGGAGTAAAAAACTAAGATTAAATTCTCATCTCACACATTATAATCAATATATTTCACATTGACATATAATTTGAAATGTTAAACGCAAACTCTCGGAGTAAGTGATTGTTTGCATTACTTGCTAGGAAAGCTCTTTTACTGAAATTTTATCAAAGCAAAGTTTCCTAGTAATCAAGAAAATGGAATATATTTCTATTCATTCAAGTTTAGATAGTCTCAAATGTTTTGCTACTTTTGTAATTCGGAACATTTTTCTATCTTATTTTCATTGCCATGTAAAAATGACACTGTAGAGAAAATTATTGATCAATGTGGCTATGAAAAATTGAAAAAGTCTTGCTTCAGAAAAAAATAGATTTAAAAATAAATAAATGGAGAAAATAAAGTGGTTTCACCACATATGAGAAGGATTGAAATAGACTCAATTTATTAACATCTCTTTTAAAAATCTGTAAAGATGAGGATTCAAATTTTTTTAAAACACGAAAAAAGAACACGAACAAGGCAATTAATACAGAAGAATTGTAAAAGAGCCGTAACTATGTATATGAGGTAATGGCCAATAATACTCTAGAGCAAAGAAGTGCAAAAAGTTTTTGATTACATACTTTTTTGGCAGACTAATTTGGCAAAGATTAAATGGAATAATAAAGTATTGGCATGAATTTGGAAAAAATACTTGTTCCCAGACAGGTTGGGTGGGAGTATAATTCCTATGACATTTCTGGTAGACATTCTGTACCCAAATTGAAGATTTCACGCCTTTTATTCCAGCAACTCAGCTTCTAGGAACATCTTAATGAAATAATTAAATCAGTACAAAAATATGCATATCAAGAAAGTTCCTTATAATGGTTTTAATCATAATCTTTTTTTTTTTTTTTTTCCGTAGACGGAGTCTCACTGCGACGCCCAGGCTGGAGTGCAATGGTGCCATCTCGGCTCACTGTAACCTCCACCTCCTGGGTTCACATGATTCTCCTGTCTCAGCCTCCCGAAAAGCTGGGGTTACAGGTGTTTACCACCATGCCCGGCTAATTTTTGTATTTTTAGTAGAGATGGGATTTCACCATATTGGGAACTCCTGACCTCAAGTGACCCACCCACCTCAGCATCTTAAAGTGCTGGGATTACAGGCGTGAGCCACTATGCCCAAGCCAATCATAATAATTTTTTAAAAGGTAGAGGGAAGCAACCAAATGTCCACCAGCAATGTGAAGGTGAAGGTAGAATATAAGTATGTAGGGTCCAGCCCCACAGGGTTGATGGGTTTTTCACCCCGTGCGCGGAGACGAGAGATTGTAGAAATAAAGACGCAAGACAGAGATAAAAGAAAAGACAGCTGGGCCCGGGGGACCACTACCACCAAGACGTGGAGACTGGTAGTGGCCCTGAATGCCAGGCTGCACTGATATTTATTGGATACAAGACAAATGAGCAGGGTAAGGAGTGTGAGCCATCTCCAATGATAGGTAAGATCATGTGGGTCACGTGTCCACTGGACAGGGGCCCCTTCCCTGCCTGGCAGCTGAGGCAGAGAGAAAGAGAGGAGAGAGAGAGAGACAGCTTACGCCATTATTTCTGCACATCAGAGACTTTTAGTACTTTCACTAATTTGCTACTGCTATCTAAAAGGCAGAGCCAGGTGTACAGGATGGAACATGAAGGCAGACTAGGAGTGTGACCACTGAAGCACAGCATCACAGGGAGACGGTTAGGCCTCCGAATAAATGCGGGTGGGCCTGACTGATGTCAGGTCTTCCGCAAGAAGTGGAGGAGTGGAGTCTTCTCTAAACTCCCCCCAGGCAGAGGGAAACTCCCTTTCCTGGTCTGCTAAGTAAGCGGGTGTTTTTCCTTGACCCTGACGCTGCCGCTAGACCAGGGTCTGCTTGGAAACGGCATTTTCCCAGACGCTGGCGTTACCGGTAGACCAAGGAGCCCTCTGGTGGCCCTGCCTGGGCATAACAGAAGGCTCGCACTCTTGTCTACTGGTCACTTCTCACTATGTCCCCTCAGCTCCTAGCTCTGTATGGCCTGGTTTTTCCTAGGTAATAATTGTAGAGCAAGGATTATTATAATATTGGAATAAAGAGTAATTGCTACAAACTAATGATTAATTATATTCATATATAATCATATCTATTATCTATATCTAGTATAACTATTCTTATTTGATACATTTTATTATACTGGAACAGCTCGTGCCCTTGATCTCTTGCCTCGGCACCTGGGTGGCTTGCCACCCACATAAGTAGCCATTTTTAATTTATTTGATGTAATATTTGAATTACAAATATCATTTTCATGTTTTTTCAAATATAACTACTTGTCTTAATGTGATTTATTGAAAACATCATTTTTTGCCCACTGCTTTGCAATGTCATCTAAATTCTTACATACCTCTTGTCTATACATGTTCCTGCAAGGAACCAGCATTTAACTATTTTACAAATTAAAGAAATTTCATACATATTAACATTAATCTGCTTTTTCTAAGATTTTCTGGATGTATTTTAAATACTCTGTGAAGGGAAACAAAAAAAAGCAAGGAAAGCACCAAAATTTGCTGCTATTTTGACAGAAATGTTATTAAAGAAACAAAATTTTCAATTTTTCAAGAAAATGAGATATATTTCTATTCGAGTTTAAATATTTTCAAATGTTATGCTGCTGTTGTAAGAGGGAATGTTTTTCTATCTTACTTTCATCGCCATATAAAAAGCAATTGAGGCTCTAAAACAGTGTTGCCAAAAATCACTATATGTTTATTAAAAGCAGAATTCTAAACATGTACCTTCATGATCCTAACATTGTAAAATTATCAAAAAGCTGTGAATCTACCATGAGGCATAGTCATTTCTGGAAGGAAGATAACAAGTGATATCTGTTCTGCTTTTGATCTATAGTTTCAGATTTATTTACAATGTTCTTTTATTAGTTATATATTGTTGCATAACAAATTGCCCCCAAAATTGGTGGCTTAAAACAACATTATTTATGATCTCACATTTTCTCGTGGTAAGGAATCTGGGCACTGTTTAGATGGGTTCTCTGCTTTGGCATCTCTCTCCGCAATCAAGATGTCAGGTGTGGCTACACTCATTTCAAGGCCAATTCAGAAATATCAGCTTCCATGCATACTTTCATAGTTGTTGGCAGGATTCAGCTCCTTGCCACCTGAGTCTCTCCATAGGGCAGCTCACAACATGGCAGCTTGTTTCATTAGAACAAATGAGAGA